AAACATTTACCTTCAAATAACTTAAGGTATCCTATCGTTCACGGAAATTACTAAAGTATACTATTTTAAAATGAAATCAAATTGATCAAGCTACTGAAATGATTAAACGATTTCTACTATATTTGACTTATATATCCTAGTAACTTAAATAAGTGACTTGTTGATATTTTCAATTAAAATGACGAAGTTCTCAGCTCTTAATGAAAATAAACTTTGGAAGTTTATTGGCTTAATATGACCAGTTATATTTTGTAATAAGTTCCATGTAACTATTTAATATTAATTAATTAGTATTGCAAGTTTATGAACATGATACTTTATGCATAACTTGCTTCAATAAGAGGTTACTGATATATATAATATTGTAAAGTTGAAATCATGAGTCAATTGAAGCTAGATCACCATGGAAAACCTGGAAGCACTGGACGGCCGTTTCATTCTATTGTGGGACTCCTCTACGATCAGGCCTCGTGAGATTCGAGCCCAGGACCTATCAGACTCACACATGAGCGCTTAACCTCTAGACCACTAAGCTGGCCGGTATCCAACAGTGTTAATGTATAACGTCAACCAATCCACAAAGTTGAGAAACCGGTCACCAATGTCATCCACGTATTTCTACTTTTCGACTCTAATTCTCTTCTTCACTTGCTTGTCTTCTGTGTATACATTGTGCCTTGACTTTCTCTGTTCTTATTCGGCTGTTGTTAATTGCTGTCTTATTTTTCTTCCTGTCTTCAATCTTGTCTAGGGTTTCCGTAGAGTTGCATTCCTTATGATGATGCCTTTTGTTGTCCAGCACCTCTTGACACGTTGAAGTTAATACTTTTACCGGATGAGGTCGGTGATCACATGCCCAACTCTCCTTCTTTACTTGTGCTTGGGATCGGTAGTAGCTCTAGAAGAACTAGAAGCGGAGTTGTTCAATTGGGTAGATATATCATTTTTAATGTTCGGAAACCTCTTATGCCTAATTAACTCATTTTTTATTAACAAAAAAATGTGATCACGGCTTGTATGATTCATTTTACCGTCAACAAAAAAAATCATTGACAGTAAAACTTGCTTTAAATCATCATTGTCTCTATAGAAATTAACATTCATTCACATAATTGATGGTAACAAATCCAATCCTCGTCATGTTTGTTCCTATTTACCTTCGAGGTTTTATATCTAATCTTCATAACTAATGTACAAAATTAAATTGAATTAGTATTGTTTGTTTGAATCTTCCCATCGATGTATTAGGACTGCAACTTGTCAGTCTATAATTAGCATATGTGAGTACTGCGTGTATTGCCTCGATATAGCCTTAATTCACAAGCATGGTAAGCAGAGATGGATAGTGGATAGCAGTGGAATCCAGTTTGACTCGCGTTTCGTCCTATTTAGGACTCGTCAGCTGGATGTACCTGCATCTCAGAGTTGATATTCACTCTGGGACTCGAACCCTGTACCCACGCTTCAAACGCCAATTGTTTTTTCCAACGTTTGTTTTCAAAGACGTTATCATTGTTCTCCTTCATAATGTTTCATTAAATAACTGATCGACAGAAAAACACAAAATAACTGCTGATAAAGATTTTCATGTATGGCTATTTCTATATATATAGTCCCAATTGCTATAATCATGCAAAGGAGTTTTAAATATTTTTTAAACAAAATATTTCATGATATTTTGATTTTAGTTACGTAATTTCATTATCATTTTCTTCCTATCAGGAACTTACGTACGGACTAACACTTTAATCTTCATTTCCTGATGACTATTTATTACTATATGTTATCTGATTATAGATACTGACATTGTTTTTTTTAAATTCAGATGAATTAACTAGTTGCTTAATTTCACTAAATAAGTCAGGCTTTCGATATTTTCATCTTTTAAGACTAATGTTTTTGCATTTTTGGTTCCATGAATCTGTCTTTCAGAATTGTACTTCAGTCCATACGATACTGAACGCAAGATCAGTAATATTTTTTATTCCTAAAATACTCTAACAGTGTCAATTATAACTGTAACCAAATTGATACTAATCTCTTGGATTATATACACTTGGTTGTCATGCCAACTTGAACATAATTATGTTCAAAATGAAAACATCAATTCTCACATTTCCATTATCATAGACGTGAGTAAACAATCTAAACGAAAAGAAAAATTCAATAATGTTCTGTTTATTGTAGGTTTTTACGCAATAAGTTGAAATGCAATATAATAAAATCTTGTATAAGTATTTCTTAGTTAAATTGTTGATCGCTTATCGCAAGACATGACAAATACGAAATTCGCTGTTAGTATATTAACCTTTTACAAAATAATTAAACAGAGTACTTAGTTAAACATCAATAGGCTTCAACATACATAAAAGAAAAAGCAATATTCTCAAATGCAACACGGAGAACACTAACCCAATCACACTTAATGGTGAAACTCTGGAAGATGTAGAAACAATCACGTACCTGGGAAGCATAATTGATAAACAAGGAAGATCGGATGCATATATAAAGACGAGGATTGGCAAAGTGAAGACAGCATTTCTACAATTGAAGAATATATGGGACTAAAAAGAACTGTCAACTAATTTCAAAGTGAGAATCTTGAATACGAACTTCAAGACAGTTAGTTCTACTGTACAAGACTAAAACGTGGAGAACTACTACATCCATCGTCAATAAGGCACAAGTGTTTATAAACAGTTGTCTACGCAAAATACTCAACATTCACTAGCAAGATACCATCGGCAATAGACTTCTGTGGAAGAGGACAAACCAGCTTGCAGCTGAAAAGGAAATTAGGAAAAGACGTTGGACATACATTAGGGAAATCATCAAAATGCATCAAGAGGCGATCCCTAACTTGAAATCCGGAAGGGAAGCGGAAAAGACCTAGGAACACATTACACCAGGAAATAGAAGCAGATATGAGAAGGATGAATGTTAACTGGAAAGAACTGAAATGGATTGTCCAGGACATGGTTGGATGGAGAATGGTGGTGTGCGGCCTATGCTCCTCCACAAGGGGTAACAGGCGTAAGTAATTAAGAACTTAGTTAAACTTTGTGAATCAACCATAAGAAGTCTATATTGTGTTAAAGGCTATTACAGTTTTAACACAGATTACTAAGGCTACGAATTAGTTGTGAAGTGAATATTACATTAACAATAGGATTACAATATATAGAGAATAATGGCCTATCACTAATGAAATACATTGAAATGAAATCATATTAAACTAATCAGTTGTAAATAATGTCAGTGAATACTAACAGATAAAAAAGAATACAATATATCAATGCTATGATTTAAGAGTAATGTTAGGTATACAACTGTATATAATGACAAATCTCATTTGAAATATCTAAAAATATATGAATACTCAGAAGGGGGCTTTGTGGAGCTTTTAGTAATTTTATATGGTTGAGATCACGAGTCATATGAAGCTAGACCACTGCGCACCGCTGAGGAGTCCATAATAAGATGAAGTGGATGTCCAGTGTTTCCAGGTTTTCCATCGTGGTCTAGCTTCAATTGACTCATGATCTCAACTATATATGTGAATACATCAAAAAGTATAACGTAACTAGATTAAATACTTGATATTCAGCTGGTAAAATAAATGTTTCCGTACTATCAACAATAGTAGACAGAATTCTGTTAAAACAATAACATTTCTTTTTTAAAATATATTGATTTAACAACTCTGTTCTGCGATGCTCATTGAAAGTACTAAAAAGATGCGGTGGATTTACGATTTAAACATGAAAGCTTCCATTTAAGCAATAAGCAATTAGGTATGAAAAATAAGGTTCAATAAACTAATACTTCAGAATAAGTAATTTACTCAAGTGACATGAAATAAATAGTGGAATATATTAAGTATAACTACAAAATTAAAAATTATAAAAGACATCCTACTTCGAGTGTTTGTACTCTTCTATAAAAGAACTTTCATTATCTTTGATGTTACATGGAATACATCTGTTACAAATTGATAAGCTTTCAGCAATCGATTTTTCCAAGTTTACTTGTCAATGAACCATACTGTAGTGAACAGAACACTGGTTGGGGACAATCTAATGTATTTAAGCAAAAATTATAGACTATCTCAGTAAATTCTAAAAACCATATAATGAACAGTCAATTTGCAAATTGTCTCAATCTTCACCGTTTCTTCTCTAATTTCATTGTTCATGCAATTTCCTACCGATTGCGCTTCGTTTTAGTTCTTTCTTCATCGGTCTTCTGCCAAAATACATTCCATGTGTGACCCACACCATATACTACTTATATGGATATAAGTAGACCACACCACAATACTACTTAAGTTTATCATGAAACTATAAATATCTCATTCTTTTTTGAATAGAATAAGTGCAAAACCAAATTTATCAACTAGACAAAAATGCAATGAGTTAAAATCGGTAAATAAATTCGGTTTTTAGTTATCTCGACTTTTAATTGGTCAGTTAATTAACCAATCAAAATGAAATATTAAAAAAGTAATTTCTTTAATCAAGATATCAGGCAAATAAACTTTGCAAATAATATAAAAAAATCATTTTAAATTTATGAATAATAAAGTATTTCTTTGACTTCTCAGTCGAAAAAAATTATGATTAATTCCATCTTATAGAATATGATGTTCCTGGATCGTATTTCGCCTTTAATAATGATAAGCCTGATTAACTGGAACCTAGTTTTATCTGAATTCATAGCATATGGATTTAATACTATGGATAAAAATACAGAAAAAGTTTTGAATTCCGTTGTTTCTAAAAAACAACCTAAATTATTAGAAAATTTAAAATCTATATCAACGTCGATAGATACAATGAATACTTCAAATGAGTATATGTTAAGTGATTACCCATTATCTGTGATTAACTTTAATAAGCATCAAAAATTTTCTTATCTAAATGATATGCAACCAGAAAATGTTGATAATTCAAAACATCCATTATTATCTGATCCATTGTTTGATCCTTCAATTCTTACAGATACTGCTGCTCGTGTAATTCAATCCAATCGTTGTACAACAGAAGAACGCCAAAAACGAATACAATGTTTTGAAGTGTTACCTGCAGAACAGTATGCTATACCATTAGGACATACTGTGAATATGCAATGCGTTGTTTTAAATCAGCATGGCAAAGTTCAATGGCGTGCGAAAAAAATACTTCTTGGTATGTTAGATGTTTATTTCTGAATAAAACAAGTTTCTATAACCATTGCTTCATTGACATAAAACGCGATTTTTAAAATTGTATGCTCATCAGTTTGCTAGCTAAATATTTGTATCTTGAGACAGTGGTTCAGATACATATTGACACTGTAAGTAATCTTATAAAACAATTGATATCCACTCTTTAGTTTTGTGGCTAAAAACTATTAGAAGTACATCGAATAATCTGTTAACTAAAACAATGAATTTCAACGATGTCTGTTGTGGGGCAGTTACTCATTGAAGACAATGGGACACGGTCACGCAATATTGTGGATTAATTGAACTTAGATATTCGCACTCTTGGATATCTGAGGTCGTGTTTGCGTGTGAGGCTGATGATCCTGGGTTCGGATCCAGCGTGTGGAATCGTAGATTAACACTACTGAGTCTCACACTAGGACGAGACGGTCGTTCATTACTTCTAGGTTTCCAATGGTGGTCTAACATTGATCTATTTGTGATCTCAACTTTAAACAGTTATAATAATATAACAGTTATATTATTATGCACCACAATACTATAACAAATGTTCAGTTCTCAATAAAAATAGTCAATCATAAAGCAGTAACAAACTAATATTACCAAACAATTATTAGTACAAATTTCAAAATTGTCCATGATCCCTTTTGATTAATGAACTTTAACAAATAGTACTTAATAGATAAGTTATTGGTATATTAAATAATATCTAATCTATATTTTTAAGGTGCATGTTCCTTGTATATTAAGTCTTGAAAATATTCTTTCAATCTAACAAGAAGTATATATATATGTATGCATAATATAATTGGTTACAAATTTAGGTGATTGATTTAAGTAGTTTATGTATTCTAATCTGGATTAATCTGTTATGATATTTTTTGGTGGGAATTTCAAATTATCCTCAAAAAAGAATTTGGTTAATAGTTTTCTGACTACTTACAATCAATTGATTTTTCTTAATGTTTTTTTAATGCATAAATGAAATTACCAAAAAAAAATTAAAGATTCAGGAAATATGTTAAGTAGTAAGTCCATTGAGATAGTAGAGGTGGTGGTCCATTTATCTAAAATTTATATCCAAGAAAGAACAACTTTAAAAATGGTTGTTAACTTATATTATATGTTGATCGTAATATGGAAAACTGAGAAACTGTGGATCGCAAAACAGCCACTTTGTTCCACTTCAAGTTTTTTGTAATATTATACACTTCTAATAATTGACTAAGCCTAAATATTCAATCGTTCTAAAATTTTTGTTTACCCTAATTAAAAAATAAAGTCAATTCTGTATTAGTACGAAAGTGGTTTGGATGTATGCTTAGCCAATTATATACAAACGACAATTATAAAGTTTTAACGTATAGAAACTTTCAATTTAACTTCGATTTATTGAGTTTCTCTTTAAATAAACCTTAATAGTTGAAAAGTTTTATGGATTAACCTTACGATAACACATTTTGAAAAACAAAACATTGATTGCATATATATATATATATATGTTTAATTGTACCCAGTACTTGCTTGTCAAGAGTAGGAACAAACGAGTATTCCCTGGAAACAAAATATTAATATTAATTGAAAAATTGACGAAACGTAGGGTTTATTTAATAGATGTTTTGTCCTAATTTACAACACCGCTTGAGCGTAAAATCGATACCCTACATACTATGATAGTAAACTTTTGAGGTTCATTAGAAAATCATCCTTTTTCATTGATACATTTATATTTTTTCAGCAAAGCTTGTTTGTATCATTTTGCATAGAACATTAAGTAGTAAAACCTCTCCCATATCTGCTTAACCTAAGACAAACCTTAACCACTTCTATGGAGAATAATGTGTTCACACTCTCAAGTGTTCATAATTTTAAGTGAACTTTTTAATACGAATACTGTATGATGACCAATTACTTAAAGAACTGTGAGTACTCAGTAAGTGTATGTAAATATACATATTTAATCAAAATATAGAGGTAATACCGTTTGATTGTTACTGGTACTAAGACTTTATGACCGAACAAAATATGTAGAAATCCTGTAACCGTGTACATATATATTTTCACCTAGATATCATCTTATCAACCACTTTAGTATCAGTAATTAATCCATAGAAGAAAAATGATAAATTAATAGGAGTTCAAACTCATAGTTAATATTTATTTTTATGATGCCTGACAACTTGTTTTTAATCAGAAAATCTGACAACGGTTCATTTTATTCCATATGGTATCTTAGCTACAAGTTTCAAAATAGTTCTACAGCCAAAACAAGAAATGAATACGGAATTCTTATAGAAGTTTCCATTTTTTTCAAGCTTGTATCATTGTGCTGAGAAAAACTATTATGGATTGTGATTTTGTTTCTCATATAACTAGATTATTCACTTTCAGTTATTTGTACGTACATTATGACCATAAGATCAAATTAATTCCTGGAATTGTATGAAACGACAGTTTATAATTAATTTTATTTACGGTAATCCATTATGTCTTTAGGAGGGTAAACCAAATGGTTGTTCGATAAGTAAAAATTATGATGTAAACAATTAATAATAAATATATATTTTTTTTGTTATATCCCAATGAGTAGAAAAATTGTATTTTTGATGTTTCGTGAGTTAAGGTAAGCTACTTCTTCAGAGTAAATAAGTAACTCAATGTTTATTTTATTTGAAACTATCAAGTTCAACCCTGGTATTGATAACTGCATAATAGAAATTAATTGTCTGCCAACTGGTTACATCTCTGTATTGACTTTGTTTTGATCTTTAATAGTTTCTGTAAAATGTAATGAACATAAAGACGATGTTTTTATAGTTTCTTTTCCTTACTATTTCATTCAAGTGAATACTTTCAAAAAATCAATAACTTGTGAAGAGATCAGCGAAATGACATGATTGTTAAATTTCTACCTAACCCATAGTGTACATATCCTAGTTTAGGCATAATGATTAATGAAGTATGAATAGATAAACAAATGAATTTGTTTATTTTCTAAGAAAAACTATTTGTCTCATTAATAAGACTTTCCAGATAATTAGAACTATTTCTTAACAATAAGTCTTCAAATTCGTTTTTGTCCTACATTTTCGTCAATTAAGTTTTAATTAAAGATGATTCCAATAGACTATTTATAATTATTATTCAAATGAAAATTTAATATATTTAAAAGTGAAGGGCTAAATAACGAACACTGAAGATTAATTAGACTTGAATAAATAGATTATTCGTTTAGGTTTCATTGAGAAATAATAAATGAACAGTTTTCAATTGATTGATCGCTGGGTAATGATCAATGTCATGTATATCAGGTTTTTTTTAGTGTAAATCAAATCCTATCGATCTGTGACTGTGAAGCTGGGTGACATGGGATCGAATCGGTCAAGGAGCATCAGTTCCCTGAAGTTTACAGTTATACCTTGTTGAGGAGTGTCAAGTAGCACGAAACTTAGGTCCAGGCATTTTCGTTGATTACCTTCACTCACTAACAACTTATTTACCTAATTATTACTGTTTTTCAATACATTTGGTCCACTTGATGATGTTGAACAGAATGAATTTCTCTATTTTGGCGCCATTCCTTAGCTATAAAAAATCTACAGTTATAACAAATAATCTGATTAGAAATAGAGATATGACGTATTTTACTTAATGAATTTATGATGAATGTTCCAATACGTTATAATAAATTAACAGGACAGGAATAAAGAGGTTGAACAAGATATTAATCGTGCCACCTATTTGTTGGAGATAGTATTGTGAAATGTAAATGCAATGATAGAATAATTATTAGTTCTATAATCAGTCGGCACGTTTAAGATAGAAACACCATTACAAATGAAATTCACCATGCAAGAAAAAGAAAGATCATTCTATTGATCAAATCAACTCATTTCATTCAACCTGGATAAACCTCATTTTGTATAAATAGATTGGCACAGAAACGATTGAAAATGGCGGATTGGTCAAAGCTAAATATTAACATTCATCAGTTGTTAAATACTTAGACATTCTGCTTATCAAGACGTGTAAAGTCAAGTAGTTTATAACTTTTAAAGTATCCTATTATATATGAGAAACTGATTTATTTCCCTTGACAAAAATGCAACAAACCATTGAGAATTTCATCCCATAACCTTATGAATTACATTTATGTTGTAGTGAACAGAACACTGGTTGGGGACAATCGAATGTATATAAGCAAAAATTACAGGCTATCTCAGTAAATTCCGATAACCAAACAATGAACATTCAATTTGCAAATTAACAACCAATTGTTTCAATCTTCACTGTTTCTTCTCTTATTCCATTGCTCATGCATTTTCCAGACGATTGCGCTTCATTCCAGTTCTTTCTTCATCGGTCTTCTGCCAAAATACATTCTGCGTCTGACCTACACCATATACTACTTATATAGATATAAGTACATCACACCACAACGTTACCGAATTAAAATTGAATTAACAAATATTGTTTGATTTCGAATTCCCGACATTGTTTTGTTAGACAAATTTAATGAATAAGCTTGTTGTATTTGTTGTACTAGGCAAGGTTAGCCCTATTAGTTCGATACAATTTCACGATAATGATTGTTATAGTCAGTTATGTTTTTCAAATAAGCAATTTTTATTTTGAATTTAGTTTTGATGGATGCTGTTTCTAGTTTGAAATGCACCAAAATTTAATGTCACAAACGTAATTTCATAGTTTTTGGCAATCCAAAGGTACATCCCATCCAAAAAATGTGCATATCTTGCTTTATTATAACTTAGAACAGCTTGACAGTAATCAATTATTTCATCGACATCTAGTAATTTATGTTTCACACGTTTGTCAATGGATCACGGTAATGATCATTATAATCTACAGTGTTTTATATCATTCAATAAAACCATTCTCAGCCATAATTGTCGATCGTTTTAGACAATCTATTATTATTATTTGCCAAAATTATTACATAATTAATAATTTTCATAGTTG